AGTTATTGGAATACAGCAGGGAGCAAAATAGGGGAAGTTGCTAGTGTCACTCTGGGCAGAGAGACCAAAAAAATAAAAAAACACACACATACATTATCCTTGAGAGACACGAGGAAGTAAAGAATAGCAGAATAAATAGTTAGGATGATGGAATGGTGGACGTGCTGGATAAGATGGTCAGGGCTTCTCAGCATAAACTTTTGAGTAAACCAAATCAAATCTGCCTATGGAACATGAATAATTTTACTGTTACACCATCTAACATTTTATAATGCTCTTTCTACATCTTTGAAATCTGGTATTAGGTATAGGGTCAGAGTGTTAGAGCCAACACCAAAATAGAAAACATCAAGCAGCATGCTCAGTGAGAAAAAAAATAAAATAAAATAAAATAAAAAAAATAGAAAACAATATGAAAAAGAAAAGTTAAAGAAGAGAAAAAGAAGATAAAATAGAAAGGAATGCTAACTTACTTTACATAGGTTGTTGAATGAGCAACACAACATTTCAACTTTCAAAGCAGTAGGTTTAATGTGTTAAATGACTTAAAGAATCCATGATTTCAGTGCATTTATTATAAAGAGAAATGCTGTGTGACTGATAGGGCATCAATTTTTAAATCAAAGCTTCTTGACCACCCTCAGAGTCCCTATACATAACTCCACCAGGAAAATCTGGTCATACTGTTATGAAGTGACACATTGTGTAAATAAGCAAAAACAACAGGTGTTATACATCTGTTCTTTCACAAATCTTTAGAATGTATCTTTAGTGAAGCTATCGTAGAGTCTATAAATTATTAGAGAAAATCAGCTGAAAAACCACACCTATAGTGTTAAAAATCCAAGCCAATAAGAGTTTAGGACTAGATCTAGCATTTTTTCTCAGTTTTGTCATGGACTGGAATAAGGAAATTGAAGTAAGTTTGCAGATATCTAAACCAAAGATCTAATCATTCTAGTGCGCTGCTCAAAAATTTCTAGTGGCTTTTCATTGTCTATTCCAAACTGAGGCACTCAAGACTCTTTTACTCATCTTCCAAGACTCATGTCTTGAATATCTCCTTCCAAACTAACTCTCCTCCATCAAATTATTTACAATTCCAAAAACATGCCAGGCTTCGCACATGCTTTTTTGGCTGCTGCAATGTCCGTCCAATCCTCTTCCATCTGGGGAATATTTACTCTACTTTCAACATGTATTTCAAATGCCATGTCCTTCATGAATTCTGTGAGAACCAGCCCAGGCAGAGTTTATCACTCACTGCCTTGTGATCTAACAGACCTCAGCACCCACTTCTGCTTCAGCAGAGTCTATACTACATTTTAATAATCCATTTACATGCTGTCTCTTCTCTGTATTGAACATCTTGGAGGAAAAAGATTGCATTTTATTCATCTGTGTTTTCTTTAAATTTGACATTTACTAGGTATTCGTGTGATCAATTTGTAGGATGAATTTAGTGTAAGGCAATACATTTGTACTAAAATCCAACAAATGAAAGGTTAGGAACTACCAAGGAATATATCCAGATATGGACTTAACATTTGTAAAAGGATATGTATAGTAAAGAATTCTAGAGAAATGTGGGAAAAATCACTAAAAGAAGGCTCAGCAAACATAATTTCAGTTACTTAGTGAGACAAAAATAGTATGATTGAAGTTGCTCTCTGCCTCTACAGAAAACATATTCCCTGGTTCCTAATGTTTGTACTACTCTAAAACTGACCCGTTCTATCACATTTATTCAAAGTTCTACAGTTTTTCTCCTGTCACTTCAAAACTAGTACTTATTGCCAGAGGGTCTTAAACTTTAGGTTCCCTTTGAGCATGCTTAATTGATTCTTTCGGTTCTCAACAACTTGTCTGTTTTATTGACTCAGTTCTCTGAACTAGAGTTGTTTCCATCAACTTTTCTCAATTTCCACCATCACAATGAACCTATATTGTTTTTCTGATTACAATTCTCTAGCTCTGCTTCCCAAAGATATATCTATATCAATCATCTAAAGTCACCTAAAATTTTAAATTAATATATAGCATATATATTTTTTTTCCTAATTCATTCACTCTTCCTAATTTTTCCCTTTGAAGGGCTCTACTAGCTTTCTGACCTAATCATCTAACAGCCTCACAATTATCTTTGACTTTTCTCAAAGACAGGGGGTCAGAAACACTTTGTGCTTCACAACCTATGCATGGATAAGACAGGCCTAATTGTCTACTCTGCATTGACCATCTTTCTATCAAATTCAACATGCAACTTCCTCACCTGATTATCTTATTAGTAGCCTATAAAATAACACCCTAAAAAGCCCATTACCTCTTAGCTGCTCCTTTCCCAATCTCTCCTTGGCAGGTGCTATCTGCTCTCCTCATCTCAGATTTCACCCCCGCTTGGATTTTCTGTCTTATCAGGCACATGACTGCTCACTCCCACCTCTAAGCCTTCACACATACCATTCCTTCTGCCTGGAATGCCCTCCCTACTGGCTCTCTTCTGCTAAGCCTAGTTTTTCTCTGCCTGCTTAAGATATACATTCTCAATACGGTCTGCCTTGGATAACTCAGCTCTGGTCCCATTCATTCTGCTTTTTTTTTTCCAGCATCTTTTCAGGGTTCTATATTAGCATCTCTATAGCCCTGCTTCTTTGTATTTCTATTTATCTTTCATTTTTCATTTGAATTTGCATTTACGATGCCAATTAACTACACCACCATGGTTTCTAACTCAGTATCTTCCTCTGCCTCTAGAACCATCCACTCTGTGTACTCACTTGGCATTTTTGCCTGCTGGAGAAAATGAACTAAAATTGCAGCAGGAGTGATTAAATGGAAAGTAGATGGAAAATTTCCATTTCTGGAAAATACCATCGGCTCCCATCTGTTTTGGATGGTTTCCTTGGATGAGAATGATTCAGATATAGAGATGGTGTCCCAATTGTGATAATAATCACATTTTTTTCCCCACCTTTTTGCTCTTTCTCAGACTTGTCCATTTCTGTTTGAGGTTTTCCAGGAAACCCCACTTCATTTCCTTACCACTCTGAGAACTCAGGCTGGACAAAACCTCATGGATGCACCTGCCAGTTATTTTCTCCATTTTGGATCCCCTAGGGAGAGAACAAATTTTCCACCCCTGGAGGTCACTGTCCTCTTTTTCACCCCGAAGAGATATTTCTACCCAAAGAACCCTATCATCCCTCCGTAGGAAGGGGCATTTATGCATGGTTTGCACCATCCAAACACCTAAACATCTCAGCTCCTCATTTGCAGGCACCTATCAAAGATCACTCTGCTTAGACAGGATCCTACAGGTTTTGCTCCACTCATCAGCAAGGAGATACTGAAAGTCCACACATCTGAGAAGGGGTGTTTTTCTTTTCTTTACTTTCTTAAGGAATTACAGTAGTGCTTGATTTGGGCAAGAGGAGAGACATCAGCGTTCTCCTTTATTTTGGTGAGGATTAAGGGTGGGTATTGGAGTGCCTTTAGTTTATCCCCGCCATTTTCAGGCAGATGCAAATGCCTCTCCAGGCGCTCTGATCATCCTCACACCTTGTTCCTCCTCAAACTTCTCCTCCAAGGAGAGAAGATGAGCCTAAGTAGTCTTGGAACTGGGGGTGGGAAGAGGCAGTGAAATGAATTTCCTTTACCCTCCCATCATCTCCCACCCTCAAGCTGTGGCTCACAGTCACTCACTGCCTCTATTCCTGGATTGTTCTATTAAAACTGTGCATTTTCGGCATTCTGGGCCCTGCTCCTTTTGCTCTCCAGTGCACTGTCCCCTGAGGCTGCAGTGTATTCTGGTACCTTCTTCCTTTTCACCTTCTCACTCAGTGGAGCTCCTCTGGGGCTCCTGTATAACCCGGCCTGTCCGCCAGCTCCTGTGCCCAGCCCCTCGCCTGCGTCTCGCTCCCTCAGTCGCCTACCGGGCGTTCGGCTTGCACGCCTACCTGCTCACAGGGAGCTAGCGTGCCCGAGGGCGTGCTTGGTTCCGGGCCAACAAACTTCCTCGGGACCCTGCAGCGCCCTGGCTGGGCCGCGTGGCGCCGCCCCCCTCCTCACCGCCGGGTTGGTGGCAGCGCCCGCGCGCTCACGGCGGTGGCGGCTGGCTCCTCACAGCCGAGGCGGCGGCGGCGGAGGAAGGGGGCCGCGTCCTCCCCGCGCCCTGACCGGGAAGTTCCTGCAGCGGCGGCAGCGGCGGCGAGGACTGCGGGGACGGCGGCGGCGCGGGGTCCGGCCGCGCTGCGCATGCTGCAGGGTAATTAAGGAGCAGGGCTGGACGCTCCGGGACTACGGGGCCGGGGTGGCTGGAGTCCCGGGATCCCCGCCCGCGCCCACGCCGCCCCCAGGCAGCCGCACTCGGGAGAAAAACCCGCATGTCAGAATAGGTGACCCGGGCCGGAGAGCAGGGCGCCGGAACCCCGCGTCTCGCAGCGGGCTCCCCTGAACTGCCCCTCTCCCGCGCTTCCAGGGGGGTGACATAGTCTCCACAGGAAAAAAAATAAAAAATAGCAGAAGGTCTCAGGGTATGAATTTGTATTGAGTTTGTTTTGTGCCTTTAACCCCACAGATATTTTTTTCTGATATATTTGACGTCTCTTCTCACCCGCATCAGCAGTGCTCATAGTTCTGCTTCCCAAACACACATAGCCCCCCCCCCCAAAAAAAGATAACCCACCTAGAACTAAAGTGCAACGCATGCAGCCTGCATTATGTGAACATATGAAAACCAACTACACTATATGGAGCGTAAGGAAGTGGCCATACCGCGCCAAACGTTTTTGGTCCCGTCCCTGAGGTACCTATGGGAATGTTAAATTGCAGGTGTGCGCTATTTACCCACCTAAATGCATTTCCACGTATAGCTGAGTGAAAACTTGGAAAGCAGATGCACGCGAATGACCAGACACATGAGCAGAGGACACAGCCCGGGCATGTGTGAGAGAGAGAGAGAGAGCAAGTGGAAGGGCCCGTCGCAGAGCCGCGCAGCTTACCTTGAATTTGCGTTGGAGCCCCTCAGAGGCGCGGTGGAGTCCGGACAGGGCTGCGGCGCCGCCGAGGAGAGGCCGGAGTTAGATCCCTGCGAGTGGGGAAGGGGGACGCATCTCTGCCCTTATTAGTCTCTCCCGGTGTGACCCTCCCACTCCACGAGGACGGAGGACTCCGCAAGACAGTACTCCGCCAACTCATGCACAGGTTTCCCTTAATTACAGCAGTGTCGCCTCAGAGCTGGGAATAACAACGCCTTGAGAGGTTTATGTTTTACTAGCAGTTTCTGACACAATGACGGTTGGATGCAGATGCTTAAGAGTGTCTCTCACTTCTGATTAGGAAGAAGTGTCTTCAAAGTACTATTGTATGTGGCATACGTTCACAGGTAAATAATTGGCTTTTTTAATAGTTGAGCTAAAAAGGGTATCATTTAGGTTTCATTTTTTTCACTTTGATTTCAGGAGTTTTACATAAAGTTAATTAAGAGAGCCTGTTCCTCACCCCTACACCCCCCCCTTCTAATCATGCTCATGTATACAGGTTTGTGCGGCTTGGTTTGTCTCAGAGTTCACAAAAGTATTTTGTGATTTTAAATATCATATCTTTCCATGGAATGGTGCTACAAATCTTGGCTTTTGACCCCTTTGGGATCCTGTTGAATATGTGAAGGTGTTATTTTTCTGCAGATTTCTGTGTAGGGGTGTGTGTGTGTATGTGTGTGTGTGTGTATGTGTGTGTGGAGAGAAAGGGAAATAATATATATATATATTTGAAGGCATGTATAGTAGGTATATGTACATATATAGCAGCTATATATGTAAATTTATAAATATATATACACATATAGTAGTATAATATACACTATATATGTGTGTATATATGAAAATAAAATCATTATAGAATTAAGAAAAGTAAGCCAGGTGTTAAAAAACAGATAAATTGGTTTAATGTCTTTTAATTCAGTATTGCCACAGTAGAAGAAATAGGATAAATTATATTACTGAGCCACAATGGTGAAAATCATTAAGCTTGAAAGTTTCCTTGGAACCATAGAAATAAGCTTCACATATCAGAGCTCATAGATCAGGGAATAAATCAAATCAGACTGGCAAAAAATAAAGATGCTAAGAAAAATTTTAAAAGATAGCTCATTTCCACTTCATTGGAGTGAAACTATAAAAGTATCACTAGTGATTTTTAAAACTGTCCTTCATCCTAATCAAAATACCTACAAGTTTTAGAGTCTTGCATACATAGTGATGCACCATGTTTATATGTTAGGATTTATAACCACCTGATATGTTTCCTTCTCACATGATTTTCACCACTAATTTTTGGTTGACTGTGGAAAGAGGCCAAGCAGGGAGCCTATCACATGAGTCATGCTACTCAAATGGCCATTTGAAAAATATGATTCATAAACCTTCATTAGACTTTTAGTGATCATTTTCTATTTTTTAAGAAGTATTATCCCTATTTGAATTTTTTTCTGTCTAAGCAATGGTACTTTATGCTAGTGAATTGAACTAATCATTCAGGATTTATTTCTTAGACTGTTAAATTCACCTTATTTATGTTAAATTGATACTATTTAAAATAAACCTTTAAAATTACATAACAGGAAGTCCACAGTTTTGCCTCTAATTTGTTTTTTAATACAAATAAATCAAGTTTATTTTAGCATTACTTTTTAAAACATTTTCATAATTTCATAATTGTTAAGATCTTTATGAAAGAGCTAAACACATTTTTGTTCTATCTCAAAATGTTCCTTTTCCTATTCATAACATTGAACCAAACAAGATTTTGGAAGAGAATGAGAAATGAATAAATGAAATTTAAAATTATTATCTGTTATTTACTCTGTTCTTAGACACACCAACATTCCCAGATCAATAAAGATATCTCTATTTTTAATTTCAGGAAGAGGTTTGAATCTAGGTTGGTTTCATGATTATAAACTATTGTATCCATAGGTTTTGGTCCTTTATCATCAGGGACAAAGAACCCTTAACCAAACACTTTTTATTTAACTAAGTCAAATACAATTATAAATGATCAAACTTTTCCCTTGCTTCTGAAGCTACCGCTAGTGGATGAACATCTGAAAATAATAGGGGAATCTGACAAGACTCTAAATTCTGACAAACAGCTTGCAGCGTTTCTAACACTTAGTTTAGCTATGTGCATGTGTGTGCTTAAAAAAATTTAACAGATTTCATAAACAAACTGCTTTCAACAATTATGCCCCATAGAAGACATAGTTAGCTATTTTTTATGTCATAAGAGGGGTAAATTCCTCATATGACATAAAAATAATTTGATTTTCAAATATTGGTAATAAATTTTTAAAATGTGTTTCTTCTAAGCCTCACTTCTTCATGTCATCTGTTTTATATATATTTCTTTTTTCTTTTCTTCTTTTTTTCTGCACTTTTTACTTCCAATCATGTTGCTTTTTTTGTTCCCCTTTGTAATTTCTTTCACTTTCTCCCCCTTCATAGTTTCCATTTTCCAAGAAGAAAGAATTTCATCATTGCCCCCAGCTAACATCTTAGTTACCAAAGCATGAGAGTGTTCATTCTTTATTGAATTTACGGGGCACAGCCATACATGACTCCCATACATATCCCATGGAAATACTTCAATGCATCAATAGTGCATGAACAGACGTTACTGTTAACTGTAATTACCAAATCTGACTTGTCATGGCTAGCATGCACTTCCCATTATATTCCCGTTTAGGCCACCACTATGTATGATATTCTTAAGGGCAAAAAGAAAGTAGTCATATTAATTCTAAATTCTTAGTAATTGTAAAAAAGTAAGTTAGGACATCTTTTAATTTTAAATGCTGTTTTTTACCAATGTTTCTGAAAATAATTCTCTTGATACAGAAAATAATATTCCACTGGTTGTTTCTATGTTTCTTTCCATTTCTGGAAGACAGTCTAGCTCATGACATTCACTCAGTTTAGAAATGAAAGCAAAAGGTGATCATAGATGTGCCTTTCACTTAGTTTATTAGACTCTCTTCCTAGGGATCAGTGACTCTGAAAAGAAATATGATAAAGGCAAATGACTGACTGGGGAAAATGTTTATTAATATACATCCAGTTCTCAAAAATCATTTCAGAGAGAGAGAGAGACAGAGAGTAATACCCCAATATAAAAATGGGCAAAAAAAATGAAGAGGCAATTTACAGAGAAAATATTAAAAGTCAATAAATTTATGAAAAAATATTCAATTTAATAAATATGCAAGGAAATGCACATTTATAAAGGAACCATTTTCCCTACCCATTTTTCCAGGATTAATATTAGTGATTATACATGGTATTAGCATAGGTGAAGAGCATTCTCAATACCTCTAGAAATATAAAATACTTCAGTTTTTCTAAAAGGCAAATTAAAAGCTTTAAAAAATACATCTGGGCTCTATGTCATAAATTCCTCTAAATCAGTAACTGGTTATTTCTGGGTTAGGATTATTAGAAGTTTGATTTCTTCCTTTGCTTATCTGTAATATGTAAAGTTTCTACAGTGAACATTTACTGCTTTTGTAATAAAAATATAACAATCATGAAAAAGTGTATTGTTTTATCGCTAAAATATGAACAAAGCAGTGGTCTTAAGAGAACCAAGAAATTGGCCTTTTAAGTACCATTTTCAAACATTTCCATTAAGAATCTTCAAGGAAAAAATTAGTGTGTAACTTAAACCATTTAAGTTGATTCTAGTGATTTCACTGGGAAGCAGATGTTAATTAAATTGTTCATCCATTCAACACATATTTTTGAATGCCTCTTAAGCTGAGCACTGCAGAGTATACAAAGATAGATTGACCATGGGCTCCAAACTGCCTGGAGTTTAACATTTAGTAAGATAAAGAAGGTGTATATACATATGCAATGATAATATGAAATGAAAATGCAAAGTACAATAAACAAAGTAGATAGAAAATTCTAAGAGAGTTCAAAGGGTGGGAAAGTATGCTTGTCTGTGGAATCATCAGGATCAAAAAATTCGGTGAACAAAAATATATCCATTTTTTGTCAGTCTAAATAAATATACTTATAAATCATTATAGAACTGATTAAATAATTATTTATGAAATTATGGGTTTACTCTCTTTAATAACTATTTTTTGAAAGAATTTGACAGAGAACAAGCCCACTTCTAAACAGATGAGTAACATAAGATTTCCTATTTCCTATGCTTTATTTCTTATTTCCTGCTGAATTAAATCATTTCCCTGGAATTCAAAGTCCTAAACAGTGTCACCCCAATCTACTCTTACTAGTCCCTTAAACATACATTTTATTGCAACTAGATTTAATGATTTGTAACCACAGAATGAGCATGTCTCACACATTGCTACCCCTATCTGAAATGCTGAAGTGGCTACTGGGATTCTGCCAATCGCTCAAGGTTGATCTCAGGTGTTATCTATAACATGATCCCTTTCTTGCCCTCCTCTCACCAAACAAATCTTCTCCTGCCTCTGAACAACATGGAGCACAGTTTGTGCCTCTTTTATGAAAATCTACATTCCCTTGCCCTTTTTCACAAACATTTCTATACTTGGTCCCCTGACTTAATTGTAAGTTCCTTGAGGACTAGAATTGTGTCTTCTCATTTTTAATAATGCCTGGAGTACCTGGTACAAGAAATTATTTTTTCTTAATATTGTCTTCAAATATGTGTTGAAATGAGACCTATAGAGGTTAAGTAACCAAGAACATACAATACATATACTTTTCTAATGACAAAGTACAGACTAGTCTCAGAATTTGTATGGAAAAATGATAGATTCATTTTTGTGTTGTATCTAGGGGAATTAAATTATTCTATCTACTGATAAAATAATATGGGAAAAAATTTTCTTACCTGTAAAAGACTCCCAGAACAGGAACTCTGAGGACAACAACACATAGAGACAAGACTGTCATTAGTTGAAGATGTCCTCATTATATGTCCTCTATACTTTTTTCCAAAGTTAAGGTAAATTTACATTATTGAAAATTAGAACACAACCCTATTTAATCTCCTATTATTCTTAGAACATGAAAAATAACCTCTAATTAAACTTTGATCTAACTCCTGAATGTTTTTAAACAACCAATCCTATCTACGTAATTTTAAAAGAGAATAATTCAATGTTGGCACATCATAAAAGATCAGTTAGCTAATACATTAATTGTATCTATAAGATTGTGATTCTTTTCATTGTAATCTTTTTTTGGAACATTTATTTTCAATTTATAACTTATTTAGTTTATTCCATGATTCTCATAGAATCATTAAAAAAACACCACATGCAAGGGGTAATACTAAGTGCTTTACATATTTTCTAATTCCATCAGTAACTCTACTGTCCTATTTTGACAGTTTAGTAAGGCTGTGAACAAATCCTTGACAAAGGCAGGATTTGCACCCAGGTGTGTCTCGTTCCAAAGCCCACATTCTTATTCACTGTGCTCTAGCATGTTGTCTTCAATCACTTTTTCAACAAACATTCAACAAACAAGCATCTGTTTGAGACCTGGCCCAGGACTACTATACCCAAAAGAATGGTTCAGCAGGTGCTCAAGCAAAGCAGAGGCTTCAAAGTTACCTGGAAAATTTACATCACTTCCCTTTTAAGATATCATGAAAAAGAAAAATA